ATTTTAGTCATTTCTTAGAATTCGGGCCCGGGAATCGAGAATTTTGAAAGTGACAATTTTGAGCGGCCGATGACGTTTTTGGCTTGGCCAACCTTGGGGCCACCCATTTCTGCAAAAAAATGGATTTCGGTTCGGGACCGGAAAAATGACGATTTTGCCCCTCTGGTCACCGATGGCAATTCTGAAGTCGTTTGAGGTTATTTTTCGAGGCTAGTCTCATTTTGGGGTGGCCACGCATACCAGGAGTCGTTTTGGCCAAAAATTGGAATTTCGACAAAAATTAGAAAAATAATAATATTTTATTCCCAGGACTTTGCAGTCAATTTTCGAGGGCTTGCGCGATGAATTTCGCGATTCCGACACCAAATTATGTTGGCCACGCACATATGGAACGCGTATGTGCGAAAATTGGAATTTTGACCCGGGACCGAAAAATTACCAAAATGCCCTTGGACCCATTTTTGGTAATTCCGAATTTTGGATTTAATTTTGGGATTAACCAAGGTGAGTTTGACTTAATCCAGGTCTGGTCAGCCTTGGTTAGTGACAAAGGACCATTTTACCCCTAAATTATTGGATGAGAAGGAAAGAAAGCCATTGGATCAAGGGCAAAATTATCCAATTGGCCTAGATTGAGACACATGGATTCCACTCACACCAAACTTTGACTCATTTGACCAGATTATTCTCTCTCTCGTGAAGACCATTCAGCCATTTCCCCAAAATTTTCTCTCTTTTCCCGTTTCCATTTCTCGTTAGCTTTACGTTTCTGCTCAAACTAAGATCGTTCACGCTGGAACAAGCATCACTGGAGCCGCCGGCCGCCCACTGCCGTCGCCACAAGACCCTTGGACCTCCTTCTCACCTGTCTCACCACCACAAAGACCGGTTTAAGTCCGCAATGCCCTCTCTCTCTCTTTTTCTCTCTTCCCGTTCAGCAAATGCACTGCCGGAGCTCCGATCGCTGTTCCGTCGACACCCGCCTGCCCAAAGACGTCCATACGTCGCCGCCAAAGACTGCCCCCCGATGTGTCCGTACGGTGCGCTTCACCGTCCGTACGGATCACTGTTCACGCCGGATCGTACGGACGCCGCGGTTGTCACCGGGACCTCGCCGGCCACCGTCCCAGCCCTGTCCGTACGGTGTCCGTACGAAAAGTGCTGTTCACGCCGTCGTACGTCGCCGGCGACGCTGCTCCCGCTGCTGCCGCTGTCCCGGCCCGTTCCAGCCCCGTTCTGTCTCGCCTTTTTGGGTAAGTGTTTTCCCCAAATGTCATTTAGGAGTTCGGGTATCGTAGCGCATGTTTAGGGTTTAGTTCGGGTAGTTTATGTGGCTATTTTAGGACTAAATTGAAGGCTGATTGTGTGGTTGTTGTGGGCTGAATCGGAGACTGAGTTGGCAGGGAAATTTGCGAGGTTTAGGAGGCTCGATGATGGCTGAGGTGTTGTGGATTGATTGTGACTGAATTGTGCGATTGATTGGTAGAATTATGCCTTGAATGGCACTTTGTATGTGGTTGTGTCGCTCGTGATGGTTGGCTGGTTTGGTGTGTGTTTCGGACTGAATGTGGCTTGGCCGTGTGCCTCGTGTGTGTGGCCGTGAGGTGTGTGAGTATGGGAGTGTGATTGTGCAATGAATTTGTGTACCAAGAGTGTGTGGTTATGTGTGCGTGTTCGTGTGACGAGAATGAGTAATCGTGAAATGTGTGTGAGGTGTGTATGTTTGACCATACGTGGTGGATTGTGTGTAAGGCGTGAGGTTGTGTATGACCGTGAGTGTTGCTAGCCATGTGTAAGTGTGGTTTGAGTGGAACGAGGGTACGGAAATGTAGGATTGGTTGGAAAGGTCCGTCCTGAGGCGTGTACGTTTACGCGGGACGATGCCGTCCCTGACGAGGTGATGATACCCGGCCTGACGAGGTGTAGATGCCTGACGTGGTCAGAAGACCGTTGGCCTGATGCGTTTTACGCGGGCGCGGTAGAAGGAAAGTGTGTGTAGGATTCCGTCCTGAGGCGTGTACGTTTACGCGGGACGATGCCGTCCCTGACGAGGTGACGATGCCCGGCCCGACGGGGTGACGATGCCCGGCCCGACGGGGTGACGATGCCTGACGAGGTCAGAAGACCGTTAACCTGATGCGTTTTACGCCGGCGCGGTAGTGGTGGAAAGGTTGAAAATGAGTGGGATTTGGCAAGACAAGCGAGAGGATTGTGGAAAGTGACGCATGGTGTGAGTAGCGTGCGAGTGTGTTTGTATCGCGTGATGTGATGCTTAATTATGGGGTAGAAACTGATAGGCACAGTATGGGACGTGCCCAAGTGGTTTCTGTCTTATAGTTAAGGCACGCGCGCGTCTGTGATTCCTTGCTGTGATGTGTTGGCGTGTTATTGTCTAACGTGCGGGAACGTGCGTGATGGATTCCGGGTAGGGTCGCATGTGATTGTTAGTTTGGCCGATCGTTGTGTGTTATGTGTGTTTTCGTGCGGCGGCACGTGAGTGCCTACGTGGGGTTTGGGGTTGTACACTTATTGAGATTCGTCTCACGGTTGTATAACCGCCACTTTCAGACCCCCGGCCCTAAACCCGAGAAGTGCGCCTTTTCGTTTTGGAAGTCCGGGGAGCCGCGTTGGTGCCCGGTGGAGCTGCAGTGAGTTCCGGAGATTCAAGCCGAAATTGAAGCGGAATGGAAGAGGCGACCCTTAGGTTTTTCCCTAGGGTGTTTTAGGGGTTGTATAACTTGGGTTATCCGATAGTGAAGTTAAGATAACCAAACCCCGAACTTTTGTTTAAACGGTGACTCGAGGATGTTAGTACGTATTTATGTACGTATTATGATGTTTGTATATTTTGTGTTGTATGAATATGTGGTTCTTTGGATTGTTTCGTTGTTCTACCCCGTTGTCGTCATTATTTGTCCGGGGTTTTGTTATTCGCTTCCGCATGTGGCTCTGATGTTTGGGTTGGGTCGGCGACATTCCTGGGACGTCGCATCATTTCGACCGGAGCAGGGGATGACGCGAGCTCGTTGGGGTTCGGGGCGTGACAAATATGACTAGCGAGCCCATGAACAAGGACAAGTTGAGATCTAGGTTGATATCTAGGTTGAAGTGACTCAAGTCAACTGGATCAAGGCAGAATCTATCTGGAGCTCCTACTTCTTCTTCCCTAGACAATACAAAACTAGCAACCAAATTACAACTCACAGACCAATAAACTTGAAACACATTTCAGACAAAAATGCTCGGGATCTAAAAAAAGGAAAAACGATCGACAAATGGCAATCCCCAACTTCATCAATCATCTAGAGAAATTAATATCGAGTTTGGCTCCATGGTTATAATTGGTAACTCTACATTAAATTCATGATAAAAATGATAATTACCGTATCCATTGAAACATAGAAGTGTATTAATATTCTACAACCATATTTTTTCACCTGACTCAAAGATTTCAAGTTCTTCTAAGTCTCTTCGATTGAACGTGAAAGTTATGCGGATCGTAACCAATCTTGAGCACATATAAGAGCCTCCACCATGTTTGGGGTTGAGGAGCTACGAAACACATCAAGCACACGACCTCCTGTGTTAAATGTAGCCTTTGATGCTACAGTTGAAACGGGCATAGCCAAAATATCTTGAGCAATGGAAGAAAGGATAGGATATCTCGAAGAATTTATTTTCCACCAACTTAAGATATCAAATTCAGCACTATAACGTTCACATCCTTCCTCCAAATACTTGTCCAATTCAGATTTTTCTTCCAAATATTGTTGTCCAGTTTTGCTAAGATACATTGCAGTCATAGTATCAGCACCGACCACGGAAGACTTTAACACGTTAATCATCCTTGTACTCTTTATCCTCGAGTTGCTTTAGGAGCATACACTGTTGGGACTAACAATACAACCGAGAGGGGGGTGAATAGGTTGTTTGAGAACTATAAAAAACATTTACGGAATATAACAAGTTCAACTTCAAATATTTGCAGAAACAGTTTGTAGAAATCAGGTATGTGATGCTATTTGACAAATCGTGATAATAAAGATCGGGTAATGATAATATTGAAGATAAAGATGATTTGCAAGTATATATATAGTGGTTCGGCTTTATCCCCAAGCCTACATTCACTCTCCAGACTAACAAACGCAACACGGGTTGGATTGCACTAGTAATTTGCTCAATAGGTTACAATTGGCAAGTGCTAGTGCTTTACAAATGATAGATCACACTATCAGAACTCAACTACTGTACTTACTCTTGTACACTTGATCATTCACACGATTACTATATGGCAAGACTATCACAGTGAAGATCTTTTAGGAGAACGAAACAATATCAACAAGGAAAGCAGCTTAGGGCAAATATTCGGATTCTACATTATGCTCTCTCTTATATTTTGGCCTTAGAAGGTCTTCTTTTAAATAGACATCTTCAATCTTCCTGTTGGAGGTACTTGAGAAGATCAACTAGCCGTTAGAGATCCATTGGTGCTGCTATCCATACAGCCCTTTATCTTGAACATTTGTAGGCTATCCGGAAATAGGTTTTGTAGCTACAGTCCCGACGCTGACTGCTTTGACATTTCTGACAGACGCCTACTCCTGTTCTCCGATATACTTCTTGATCATTTCGTTGAACATATCCACTCTTCAACGGCTATAATCTCGAACATCCTCACATGTTTGTTATTCAAACATCACCAATAACATGATATCTTAGCATTGATACAAACATCATCAATCAGCTGATCTTTATGTCTATTGATGTTGTTTATAGAAAATGTATCAGGACATCTTGCGATCTTCTCCAAATGTATCAAGCCATAGATATTACATTGTCCTTAAATATCATCACAATCTTCCACCTCATTTGTATAAGGCAGTTGCTCTCACCCGATATCGATACTGATGTTTCTTATCCTTCCAAGCATATTGGCAATTTCGACTCTACCAAGCTGTTCATCTTCATGGTCCTTTGAAGCTTTACCAAACATCCTCGTTCTAGGCTTGTTCACCATCACTAGGTCCATTCAACTGTTCACCTGATCTTTGTACCTCCAAGTCATCATGAACATCCCCGTTCTTCTTAGCTTGTTCACCCTCGATCAAGGTCTTTCCAGATGTTCACTATATTTGAAGATCCTTTTAGCTTGGAGACATATTCAATTACCCAATGTCTTGTTTACCTTATATATCGATAGAGCATTTTAACAGTGGCAGAGCACTCCTCATATTAGAATGTTTTGGTGTTGTTTATGACAATATCTGCGTTTCGGCTTGTGCATATATCACTTGGTAATACTCAATCAATACATACATTAGTAGCCTTTGATTGTCTTTGTCATCTTCAAAACAACATAGGGGATTTTCTCAACAATTATCATATTAGTGATTTTCCCAACATACACTAATGCGGTATTGCTCGAACAAAGACGTCAGAGATGTTATTACCTTATCTTGTAAAGTTTCCACCTGCTTGCTTTCATAAACACGATCAATCATCCACTTCACATATTCCCACCTATGCCGCGGGTCAAGTATGCAAGCAATGAACAAAGTAAGATCGATGTCGTTCACATTGCCAAAATACTTGTTGAATTTGATCTTCATTCTCTTAGCCATTTCTTGTAAAGTTGGATCTTCGTTCTCACAATATATGTCAATCATTATATAAATTCCATACACATCCTTCGCCATATCATTACTAGTGACATAAGAAGAACCTGAAACTTTTAAAGTCGTATCAAAGAACAACTTCAGAAAAGGAAGAAAGTGACGGGCATACTCCCACTCATCACTAGTGGACAATCCTTTTGCCTTGGAAAGCTCTTCAACAAATTTACTATCTTGAAATTCCAACGAGTTAAAAGCTATTTGAAACTTCAAAGCTTCTTCCAACATCATGTATATTGAGTTCCAACGAGTCTCGACATCCAAACATACAAGACTCTTGGACTCAATTTTCTCTAGCTCAATATAACCCTTAAATCGTCTCAGCCTCGCAGGAAAAGACCTTACATAACGCACAGTTGAACGTATTCTAACAATCGAATCATTTATGTCTTTCAACCCCTCTCTCACAATCAAACTCAATATATGAGCAAAACACCTCATGTGGAGCAATTCACCTCTCAATACTAGAGAATTCCGAGAATTAAGTATCTTTTTCAAATATTGAATTCCTAAGTCATTTGAGCTAGCATTATCCATGGTAATAGAAAAAACGCTTTGAATCCCCCAATCAATCAAGAATTTCTCAACCGCTTTTCCTATTATCTTGGTAGAATGACTCGGGATTTGACAAAAATTTAATATTTTCTTGTGCCACTTCAAATCGGCATCAACAAAATGAGTAGTGAGATACATATAGCTCAAATTTTGACAAGAAGTCCATGTGTCGTTATAAGACACACTCTTGGAGATGTCTCCAATAAATATTTCTTCAATTTACTTCTTTCATTCGTATTTAAATCATAACATTTGTACCTCAAAGAGTTGTGCGATAGGATTAAGAAATTTGACTGGATTTTATTCACAAACCGCTGAAATCCCTCATGCTCTATCAACTGGAAACGCAATTCATCAAGAATAAACATGATCGCTAATTCTTTTCCACTATCATCTTGGTCAAATTTCCAAGGACCTGAGTCACTTTTTTTCCTTTTCTCGACATTTGTATATGGGAATTCCTTACATCTAGCTAAAACGATGCATCGAACTGGTCCCTTGACCACTAGCACAGCCAATACAGGCCCCACAATATATACATTCAACCTTCCCTTCATCAGGAATATGTTTAAAGTGTTCCTATACTGAAGATCTCGTCATTCTTTGTATGACACTATAAGCACTTAATTCAGACATTTAGCAATCATTCTATCTATGGCACTTAGAACCTGGAAAGTATTATTACAATTAGAAATATAGTCCTCAACATACTCTTGACAAATACAAGAAAAGCATGCATAAGACAACTCTAAAGTTGTGAAAGTATGGGGAGTAAAGTGTGACATCCTCAATCCGACCCCTGTCTAAGACGCAGGAAATGGTCTAAAGTATCGAAGCACTAATAGCAAGGATGGACTGTTAATCTTCGGATAAGTGGATACGAGCCAAGCATTGGAAGCCCAACAAATGTCGTGCCCAAGACAAGCCCAGTGGACTTGTTCGGCCTTGTTAGGTGCCAATCAAGAGGGTAAAGCTCATTTTGCCTACATTTGACCCTTAGGTGATTTTTGGAAGATTGCACATTAATGTACCATGTGCATGATTAGTGTTCTATGTATAGTAACCTATGGTTTAGCATTTAATGCACCTTCTAGAAATTTCGTTTGGGAAGAGACCAAAATTGGTCTTGTTTTGACGAGGTTGGGCACCACCTTAGAAGAGAAGGGGAAGAGATTAACTTAGTTAGCTTCTTGTTTGGTTTCCTTGGTTAGTCCCCAACTAAATGCATGTGACTATTTTAGTAGTCATGAAAGCTTAGTGTGAGACTTGTTGAAGAAGATTTCAAGTTGGCCTCTTGGCCATGAATTTGCTTGGAGGGGAGCAAATTAAGAAAGACCTAGGCTAGGGTAGATAGTAGACTCATAAATGCAATTGTGTTATTGCTGTCTCTCAAACTCAAGGAAGTCTTCACTTTTCTCTCATTTCTCTCATTTCACTCACTCTCACTTTCTCTCTCTCGCTCACCTTCTCCCTCCTTCCTCTCGGCTGCTCGCTACCTCACCGCCGCTCACTGCCGCCGCGCCGCCATGACACCGTCCACGCCGCCTCACCGCCGACCACACCTCTTTGCCATCGCCGTTCATCCGCGGTTCGTCGTCGTCCGTAGATCTCACCCCGGTTTCATAAGTAGTTCTTCTAATCCATGGATAGGATGTTATTCTACGCGTTTCGGACCTAGGTTGAGTCTTATTTGAGCTTATTCTACCATGATATTTCTTGTTCTAGGAAGAGGAAGCCCGTATAGCAATCTTGTATGGTTTGCTCATGTTATGCTTGAGGTATGAGGTTCGGAAATTAGTATGTCGATCGCGTGCCTAGTTGATTGAAAGGAAGGATTAATCTTGTCATGGATTGCCAAATTATGAGAAATCGTTGTTATGAGGTTATGTTCTATCATGTGTATGGCTATCCTTGGCTAGGAATTGTTATGGATGGATTATGTGGTTATGGAAGGCTAATTGGAACTATCGTTGGGTGATGCTAATGCTTGTCTTGCTTTGTTTTGCTTGTTCTAGGAAGATGTAGCCAATGTATAAATTTTGTATGGTTTGCTCACGAAATGCTTCCACTATTCATATTCTCGTTATTAATTACCATGTGAATTTATATGTTTCCGTGATGCACGTGTATGTTATGGGGATTAAGGTAAAGGGAATGTGCTCATGTGATTGTTTAGTGCAATAGAAGTCTCATGTTGTCACATAATTATTGGATTATGAGAAACCGACATTTTAAGTCATCTTGTGAGTGTCCATCTTTACAAGGAAGGGTTGTAAGTGAAGTATGTGCAACTTCGCATATCGAAGGATTGCGGTTGTTCATGTGTGATTATTTTCGTGCATTTTTAATGTGTGCGGGATCTTAGATATTCTAACCGTGTGAGCACTAAACACTCTTGCATTGGCTTAAGTGAAAGACAATAATTGACTTGAGTGCTTAATACGGTATGATCACATAAATGGTTCCGTACCCGTTTGATTGCGGGGGACGATGCCCGATGGATATTGGATGCTGTCTGCGGATAGATTTTGGAACGATGCTCTTAAATGAATGCCATTTTCGACTGAGGTCGAGATGTTGCCGTGCCAGATGGGGTGGGACGATGCCCGGTTATACCAGAAGACCACCGACGCGAGTGTCGGTCGTGGCTGAGAGCGGTCGTAATAATCGGAACACGTGTGGATGCATTGTGCATGAATATGTGATATGAAATGTTCTTGATTACAATGAGTATTTGCTGCATGCCAATTAGAAGCGGGTTTGACGTGTGATTAATTGTGTTAATTTTATGTGTCGACGGAAGTAAGAATTCATGTGTGATTATTTGATTGTGTTTTGGCATGTCGAGAAAATGTGGTTGTCACGCCCCGTACCCCCACGAAGCGTGAGCATCCCACCTTCGGTCGATAAATTGCGACGTCCCAGGAAGCGTCGCCGACCCACGCCCATACAGAGATCAAGCACAAGCGGAAGTATAAAATAAACAAACCCAGACAATTACAATATGAGCCAAGGATAGCCATCCAATAAACAACGATCAACGCAGAAAATATGTACATACTTATATTACTATTTTAAAACTCTTTTTACAGTGTTCACGACAACCAAAAAGGAAACACCAACAGCTGGGAATAACCCAAACAGCCACTTCTCCGTTCTGCTCCGTCTCCACAGGGGTGCACGCTCAACGACCGCTGGATGAAATGCAGCATCCCAAAAAGTGGTGGTGTCCTCGGCATCCTACGGTTAAGGGTCTGAAAATGTTTCGGTTTACACAACCGTGAGACGAATCTCAGCGAGTTCAACCCCTAAACCTAGGCTAGGCTAGCATGCAATCTCCTGACCGGAAACAAATATTTATAATCACAACACGACAATAATCAAACCATTCTCAGACCCTGCAGGTTAGACAGATCAACATATAATAATCACGGCACATACGTGGCACGCATGATCACCCGTATGCTAATTACATGCTCATGCACTGATTCTCACATCTTCGTATGCCAGTCTATGGATGTTCATGCATGCAAATGTCGTCGACATGTCATGCGTATTTCTCCGGCCCACTGGCCCACACTGGCACACTTGCCCAATTCATTATTATTACGACTCGAGTCATCAATTTTTCACGGCCCGGTGCGTCTAGCCTGCTTCAAAGTGCATGAGGCGCAGCAACCGATCTGGCCCAGTGTCTCTAGCCTGCTTCAAAGTGCATGAGGCACAACACTGTCTCCTTGCGAACCAAAGCCTGCTTCAAAGTGCATGAGGATGGTTGCCTTCCGGACGTACCGGGCATCGTCCTGCTTCAAAGTGCATGAGGACGGTATCGACCCGAAGGTCCTTAGGTGATCACACAACTTATTATTATCTCGAACCCGGCCGTATAACGCTCTGGGGTATTTTAGGTGATCACATGCTCATGGCGAGACACGCATTCTCGCACAATTTCACCACATGCCACACTCTTGGCATACACAATGCGTGTCCATGTTATGCAATGCAATGCACCACGAGCGCCAATGAAATCCAATCACTCAATATCACAGCACGTGCTCAATTGGCCCAATTAATACCGTGTGGCCCAACGTGCGATTCACAATTCAAACACATATTTCAAACCAATCATTGGCCAATCGCACTCCACAAAATCAGCCACACAATGTCACGAGAGATGAATACAAGCCAAGGCACTCAAGGTCGATCTCCCACACTAATATACCAAACATACTCATGCTCGATTTAGATGCATTCAACTCATCCTCAATACAATCAATTTATTTATGTTCTCACCCAACCCATTCAACATTGATTCCGCACATTTATTACAATTCAATGTAATGCGCCTAAGGCCCGCCTTGGCAAATTAGACTTAGTCCTCATTCTCATTGGTACGGGGTCAATAGATAGGATTTATATAAGTCCTAAATAACCCCTAAAAATGCCTAATTCCTTGCCATCAACCAATGACTCAACTAAGTACTCAACTTGGACAAATTGCACAAATTCGGTACTCAATGAACAGTACCAGGGGAGGACACATTTTGTCCACTAAACCACAATTAAACACCCTCATTAGGCTCTAATCTCAAACTCCAATCACCCAACAACCAAATACACTTAATTAGGCCTCAATTAAGTCCAAATAACACTTGAATTGCCTAATTTCAAGTCTTGAATCATTGAACTCAATTAGTGCCACACTTAGACAAATTTGTGCAATTTCGGTACTAATGAACAGTACCAGGGCAGATTAAGCCTTAGTCACTAGTTCACACTTAAACAATCACATTAAGGCCTAATCACATACCCTAATCACCCAACTACCAAATACACTTACTTAAGCTTCAAATAAGCTTAATTAGCCCCTAAAATGTCCAATTCTAAGTGATTAACCATTGAACTCAATTAGTACAAAACTTAGACAAAAATACACAATTTCGGTACTCAGTGAACAGTACCAGAACAGGGGCTGTTTTGGG